ATACACACAACTACATATGTGTATACATATACACACAACTACATGTGTATACATATATACATATACACACAACTACATGTGTATACATAAACATATACACACAACTACATATGTGTATACATATATACATATACACACAACTACATATGTGTGTATATATGTACACATATATACACACATCTGTAGATGTGTGTATATGTATACATATAATCTCCTACATATTTGTATACATATAAACATATACACACACAACTACATATGTGTATACATATATACATATACACACAACTACATATGTGTATACATATACACACAACTACATGTGTATATATGTACACATAAACACACACACTCCTACATATGTGTATACATATACACACAACTACATGTGTATATATGTACACATAAACACACATACACTCCTACATATGTGTATACATATACACACAACTACATGTGTATATATGTACACATAAACACACATACACTCCTACATATGTGTATACATATATACATATACACACAACTACATGTGTATATATGTACACATAAACACACATACACTCCTACATATGTGTATACATATAAACATATACACACACAACTACATATGTGTGTATATATGTACACATGTATACACACATGTAGGTATGTATATGTATACATATATACATATACACACAACTACATGTGTATATATGTACACATAAACACACACACTCCTACATATGTGTATACATATACACACAACTACATATGTGTGTATATATGTACACATGTATACACACATGTAGGTATGTATATGTATACATATAATCTCCTACATATGTGTATACATATAAACATATACACACACAACTACATATGTGTGTATATATGTATACATATACATCCATATGTATACATAAACTTAAACAATAATATATGTGTATATATATAATTAGGCTAATACTTACCTCTGTTTACGTCCCTCTTTTTCTAGATTATATAAACCCTGTCGAGGAAAACCCCTTCGTCACACGTCGAAGGAACGGCGATGCCCATGCAGTGATTGATGGAGCAGGTTGCCATGGCCTTCACATGCCTGGAGCAGTTGCTGCTGCTGCTGCTGCTGTCCCTAAGAGTCAGACATCCCATAGGGACGATGAGTACATGAATGAGCCACTGTACCTGAACACCCTGCTGAAACCCGGAGACAAGAACGGATTAGCCGGTGCAGTCTCCATCTCTGGTCCTGCGTCCTCTGTTGCCCAGCCAGTTTCTCAGACACTCAACCAAGCGCCATCAGGTCACACCGTCACATCCTCTGGATATGGAGTACCTCCCGGCCACTTGCCCCATTCCTCATATCCATCTCACACCCTGCATCCAGGGCATTCGGGACACACCATGCACTCAGGCGTCACCAGCAACACCATCCTGTTTGATAAGAAAGGCAAAAAAGCCACTTTTGACAATCCTGAATATTGGCAGCACAGTCTCCCCCCAAAGTCCACAATGCACAACCCGGAGTATCTACAGGACTGCAGCACGCGCTTTTTCTACCGGCAGAACGGACGCATTCGCCCCGCCGTGGCTGAAAACCAGGAATATTTGTCTGAGGCTGCTATGAAAGCGGGGAACGTTTTGCCACCTCCACCATACCGACAGAGGAACACTGTAGTGTAGTGACCCGCCTACTGTACAAATGAGGAATGACAAGGGGGATAGAGGTTAAGACAGAAAGACCACACACAGTTCTTTGATTTTCTTGCAGTGCTCATCAGTCTGGGATCTCCTTGTACCTTGTGTGAGCACTTCTCTCCATTAAATATATGATTGCAATTCTTATTCTTTCTTTGTTCTGTCTTTACAGGAACTCATTACCACTGACGGACTCTCCTGCCCTCCGCCCCCTAAAACAGATTATCATTGTTATCGGTCTTGTGTCGTCACAGCATTTTTTTTGTGCTAGTTAGACGCAAAAACAAACGCAATCAAAGACTGAAAACAGATGCTTAGTAGAAACAAGCCTAGGTTAGCCCAAAGAGAGGATTATTGCCATTGACCTTTCTTGAATTTCTTTTTTTTTTTACTCCCATAAATCATTTTTCATTATCCTAATTTTTGTTTACCATGGGTAACATATAAGCACTTGGAATTAACAAGAAATATTTTTAAATTATTTTTTGGAATCAAGATCTTGTCTGTTTTTCGTCCCTTTCACTGCAACGTTTCCTTTAGCACACACTCTGGTTTGTATTAGCTCCACGAGATCACAGTTAGCAACAATTTGACTGTCATTACCAGCGTTAACTGCAGCACTTGGATTTATGTCTAAATGGAGTTGGTGCCTGGGGACGGACAACTCTCTTAAATGGGACAAGGAGCATGATTGTGGAGAACTTTTGAAACGGGCCTTAAGAGAAAAATATGACTTCACAGGAACATTAGTTTTGTCTTTTTCCTCCTTTTTTAAAGCATTAGAAATCTGTTCTCGTTGTCACGTTGTCTTATAGAGGACTTAAATAATGAAAAACAATACAGACACTCTCAGCCAAAGCACAGTGGAGATGGCAAAGTGACTTACCCTGCAGAGCTGTAAATATGCCAATTACATGTCATTACCACTCGCAATCTGTGGCCTGGGCTGTGCGCGGAAATATTCTTAGTGCATTAAGCGACGAGGGTAAAATGTTTCTGTTTGGTTCTCTGTCAGATGAGTTGCGGTTCTTTGGTGAAAAATACGTTTGAAACCTTTAAAAGACATTTAATTTAAAGAGCTGAGAAAATGGGACTTTTTTTTTCAAGAGCAAACTACGGCTAACTTTATGTACGGCCAGATGACACAGAACCTGTAAGCTGTGAGACACCAGCATGTCTCATAACTTGGCCTGGGGGCTGGGGTTATAAGCAGAATTAGTATTTGTGCACAGCTAAATTGATTTTGCTGTTATTCCAAATTGTTATTTTTGCTTGGCTGATGTTGCAATAATAATCTATAGTGGGTAAAAAAAATGTTTTTGAGTTCGGCCTGCGAATTACTGCAGCCCAAGCATTCTATCATAGAGTAATCGGCCAATAGAAAGTCTTTTGTGCACAGTAAAGTATCATCATTTTGATAGTGATTCGAAATACAGTATTGCATTACAAACAAAGTTGCCTGGATACACTTTTTTCTGAATTTAAATTGAATATTTTTAGAGTTGAATTTCTGTCCATACCATAGTCTGGTACTTTGCATTTGCCTTGATAAGGGGTCGCAAAGCTGGACAGGGCTGCTCTTTAAATTAAAGTCCAAAAATACATACTCAGTTATATCAATATTGGATATTCAGTACACATCAGACTATCTGTGTATAGGGATTACAAAACAAAGAGCACATTTTGTTTAAAGTTCACAAACACTTACCCACAGGAAGTCGCCGTTGGTGGAAAGTTTCAGAGGCAGCGACGTGATGACCAAAACACAGATGTCGTGTTTTCGCTCCCTTTCATATTTTATGAGGAAGAATAATAATCCAGCTGAGCTCCAATCAGGACACAGGCTGCCACGCCGTAACAGGATGTCAGACCTGCAGAAATTACAGTATAATGGAAGACAGATTAGTGCCATAATATCACATTCACCGCAGTTATAAAATTGAAACCCTCCTCCGCCAAACATAAGTTTAGATGACGGATGGGATGTGGGCTTTAAATAATGTCTCCAATTCAACCATGTGTTGAGCCTCGTTCAGGCTTTGACTCTGCTGTTAATACGCTTCATTTTTCTTGCCTTGTGCCGACTTGAAACCAACTTTGAAAGTCAGACTGCTGTATGTACAGTCTGTACGGATGCGTTCTTTACGTAAATGTGCGCAACATGGAGTGTCTCCTCTTCATTGTTAGCGGGAGAAGTCACTTGTGTGAGTATCTTTCCACCAGCACCCACCAAGTATCAGTTGGTATGCTTTTAGACTACTGTGTGGCCGTGTACTTAAGTGCAACGACGGCAGTGGAGAGTCACCGAAAGGTTCTGTAATGGATCTCAGTGGAAAAATAAAGCCAATCTTCTGGAGGAGAAAACCTGCTGCTGCTGACAGCCAGCAGGCCTCACAAGGGGCTTTTAGCTTTCTGAATGCTAATTCCTCCACTTTGGCTCGTTCAGTGGGGAAATCATGTTACCCAACATCTCACCCCGTGCACCAGCTGAGAGACCCCGAATGACAGGCAATAGGCTGTAATACTACTGCAAGTTTAAAGCTGAGGTATTAGGATTCCAGATATGTTACTGGAACAATGCATCAATGTTACAAAGGCTCACAGCAGAGAATGTGCAAGTGCACCACAGCTGGCAGAGGAGATCACAACAGGCTGCCATGCTGTGTTCCACCTCAGAGGTGGCTGTATAAAATATACGTAGCCAACACTGTTCTGCAGCTCCAGCTGTAACACAGATGCATATTAAAAAAAAAAGCTTTGTCTGAACTGAAGGCAAGCTAAGACCTGGAAAATATGAAGAGGAAAAGTTTTGGATGCAGCAAAAACCTTAATAATAATACATGTAGTATCATAGTCTAGTAAAAACGCCCAGTGCTTATATTTATTCATTCTTAAATGGCAAACAGAAAATACTTTATATATGTATATATATATATATATATATATATATTCTGAAGGGCAAATTGGATTTGTTAGTGGCATCTAGTCACAGGCCAGATGTTGGGGTTCATGGTTGGAAAGTGGCCCCCGGGCCAGGAGTTTGACTTATTAATTGAACGGTTGTATTTATTTTTCTCATTTTCTTTTTTTCTTTTAGTCATGGTTCTCACATGATTTATAAATACGAAACACATGTTACCACGTGTACTGTGAATACTTTTTCTTTTTCAGTCCTATTTTGTGATTTTTAGCGTTAGTGTCGTTCCTTTCCGTGATGTTTACATAGACCAAACATATTCTGGAATTGTACATTGACGCCAGGCTGTTGATAGTGTGTACTATTTAAATACTGCTGGGTAAAGAGGATCTCACTTTGTTTACAGTGGAATTTTGTTTGCAGATTTTGTTCAGTGTCCACATAAGGATATTCTAACGCCCAAAATCTACTAAGACGGGCATCGTTGTCACATTTTAATAATTTTTCCTGCTTACATTTAAATATTGATAAATACAATTTCAGTAATTCCAAAATTTGCCCCCTCGCCTTCGACAAAAAGATAATTTAGTTATTTTTATGCCCCCTCGCCTCCGACAAAAAGATAATTTAGTTATTTTTAATACATAGCCAGGCCATTTAACGAGGTGCTATCGAAGGAGAAGATCTGTAGGTACGACAAAATGCTAATTCTGTGCGTACCATCGTTTCCATTTTAGTATGAAAACTGAAGGCTGTTGGTGCGATTCTTTAACAGTTGATATTTGTCACCTGACTTTACAGATTTGCAGTTGACACAGGTCTAAAAAGTACATTTTTACACATTATTTTGGTACAGATGCAATTGAAATAGTTGTATTTTATACAACAGAGAACATATAAATATTCACTCCTACCATTTAAATCAGGGCCTCATCAAACGTCCAGAGAAACATCTGGAACCAAGTGGTCACCGTCATCACGTCCCCACTCCCCTGTGCAACCCACGACTCTGTGAAGACAAACGGGTCAAAGGTCAACAGAGCACAGCCTACTTTACAAGTCTATTTAATTCATATCAGACCAGATAATGTTGTAAAGTCGTCGTTCATCAGATAAGGGGATTTCTAAAAACTTCAAATAATCTTCATCAAATATGGATAGTATTTTTATAGCTAGGTGTTGACAACGGACAGCATCTCTGTAAATGTGACGTCGCAGACATTTTTTCCAACTCAACATTTTTTCTTTTGAAGAGTGTGTGTGTGTGTGGGTGGGTCACCTCCGCCTCATTTCTCAGTTCTATTGTGACAGTGAATGTGTGTGTAAACAGAATTAGACAGATTTTCATTTGTTTCGTACACTGTCAAAACAAAGTTTCAAACAAACTAGAAAATACTCAGTATTTATTCATCATTTTCAGTTTGTTTTTGTTTTGTTTTTCTTTATATTCAGTGTTTAACCGGCTGATATAAAGCTTTTAATTCCCTTTCCTTTAAGAGTCCCAGATTCAAGTCAATGTTATTTTCTGATTATATTGAGCTGTTTGTCCATATTTGGCAATACTGATTGAACGCTGTAAGAATATTTCAGTGGCTTTGAAAACCAGGTGATTGGAATCAGTGATAACTTATTGTACATAAAGGTTGGTAAATACTACTTCACAAGAACTTTAATGTTCACTCTTGTCTATATAGGTCAATGGATTTTTTTTTTCATTTAATGGGAATTTTTTTTTCAGTTGTTGCTGAGCTTCATGACACAAAGACTGGCACCAAAATTATTAAAAAAAAGTGACTTGTTGTATTTCTTTTGTTGTACTGTAGCAGGTACTCGGTTGGACAATTGCAGTAGAACTTACTGTGAGTTGTATTATATTTTTGTCGTGAGTCACTCAAGCACAAGTCATGTTGTTTAGCAGGAACTGAGCCAGACTAAGAGAAGTTTGTGAACACAGACGTTGACATTTTACCCAGTGTCAGCCCTGGGTTAGTTAGACGTTGTCATACTTTTATATACGGCCCATCATCTACTGAATACTACTGCGGGCCTATTTTACACTCCATGTTGTATATTCCATTACATTTGATGATTTGGGTGTCGATTGTTTTGTTTCAAAAATGTTAAAAGAATCAAACAATACTGAGGTCAGAACTCTTTAATATAATTACATAAGTTCTGAGGTTATAAAGTATATCGTAGGTTACGATCTCTCCATAACGTCCACAGGATGATTGAAAAATTAGTTGTTTTTTTTACGCCCTCCCTGTATCTCATTTTACTAGTTTTAAATGTTCCTTTTCACTGGTAAATTGACACGGTTCCCAAACTGGAACATTCAAATATGTACCCCTCTCTTTTACTACATGAATCTGTCAAAAGTATATTTTTAATTCAATATAAATAAAGATCAGTCAATATTTAAAGAAGAAAAATGTTCCTTCATTATGTCATTGTTGTTACCTGTCACAGTCTCAGTATACTGACGGTAAAAGTTCACTTTCACTGTCATATATTTAGACTTTGAAAAACTAATTTTGATTTGTTAATATTATTATATCTTTGTATGGGTTACAGTGTTGTGTTCTTTATATGGTATCTCTCTCTCTCTCGGACTCTGTATTTACAGATGTGAATGAATTGTTAAGTGTTCTTGATTTAGCATTTATTGCTAGCTAATTCTCTAACAGCTAACAAACAGTAGCAATGAATGGCATGAGGGTGAGTCAAAAAGTTTTAAGAAAGATTTGCAAAAGATTTCTTTCAAAATATATCTGATAAGTCTCTCAGTCCAGGCTGACAACTTGTTGTTTTATTTTATTTTTTCTACAGATTTTACAAGACTGCAAATGGACAGATTTGAAGTCGGAGCAAATGTCAAGTTTACGGACCCAACTCTAAGAAGCAGCGGTGACGGTGAGACCCTCAGAATTCAAAGATATTTGCTAAACAATGTTTAGAAATGCAATTGTTAATTTGATTACGAAACAAAAAAAATCCTGGACTGGCTCCAGGTTTTTATATTGAGTTGTGTTGGTTTATTGACATTGCAGAGAATTAAACGCAGTTTAACATGATCAAAGTAACTGAACTGCTCGGAGATGTTCCCCCTGGGACTCTGATTGGCAGAGCACAGGGCAGACCTGAACATCCCAGTGGGGTCTCAGTGCAAATAAGATGCTCAACAGATTCGACAGGTGATGATAACTAAAATCCCACAGGATCCAGTCTTGTTTACAGACAGTTTAATTCATGATCTGCTGTTTTTCAATTTGTCATTTCAATTAAATTAAAAATGCATTCTTTAAAAATATATTTAATAATTAATCCAGTATTTTTTTAAATGTAGTAATTTAGATACAATGCAATGAAATTAATGATTATCTGAGGGTTTTTTTTTTTTTAACTGTTTGACTCACTCTCATTGTACCTAAATGTCTACTATTAAGTCACTGAGATGAACAATTCTTCAGCCTGTAGTCACTGCATGACATCTTCATTTCTCCCAAATAATGACAGGCAGCAGACTGTAAAAACAAACGCAGCCATACAGATGGTGGCGCCCTCAAGCTAAAAAGTGCAAGGACTCAAACAGTGGCTTCACTCTTATCACCACGGCCTATTTTCTTTGTTCTCTCTGTCAGAGGTACACACAAACGTGTACATGTAGAAATATCACAAAAGACCACCAATAATCAGGTGCCATCACTTCTGACACTCGCCCGTGCGTGATGGATGCTTCTCCACTGCGGCTGATGACATTTTACGGCATTATCATCGGAAATCCAATAACGAGATCAGCGTCTGAGCCTTTGCCCCGTGCTAAGTCAAATCACTTGCCTTAAGATGGTAATAGAGTGTGATCGAAACTATTTGTCACTGCCTCTGGTCTCACACCCCCGTGCCAAACCCCTTTGACAAAGTGTATGGATTTTGAACCTGATATGAAGGATGACCTGTGCGGATGAATGTAAATTATCTTGAATGTCTGCAGGTAAATGTATTGACTGACGCCTTGCAGAAAATAAAGGTGGAGGCTTTAATTGACAGCCCATTAATCTTTACCCCGACGCAGAAACACGGAGCGTTATCTCCTCATATTTTAATGCCCAGGTATTTTCAAATGTTCTTATTTGGGCTGTCAAAATGAATTTGTAAAATTGATATGATAACACTGTTAACCCACGGTGATGCTAATTCAGGTATTGTTGTTGTAATACAGTCAATTAACTTGTAACACTGCTGGGAAACGTTCTAATTTCACAGATGTAGCTTGAGCTTTAAATTCCATCTCAACTTTAACTTCAGCTCAGAACCTCAGCTCGTCAGTCCAGCACCAGTGAGAACAGGGCAGTGAGGAGGTCTACGGCTAACAGGCTAACAGGCTAACAGGTGAGACATAATTTTATTATTTTGATTATTTACAAAACAGTCTCAAGTGTGAAACTCCAACCTAATTTTTTTTTATTTCTGTTCCAGGAAAAATAGGACTACAAGTTGTTCTCAACTTACATCAGAATTCCATTTCTACGACAGAACGTGTGTGGATTTTCACATATTGTACGTAAGTACTTATGTCACTCGTCTACACCAACACAGTGGTAACGTCATAATCTAGGACATAAAAACATCACAAGAGTCTGAGGGCAAAAATATTTCACAAAAAACACAAACACAAGAAAGGGAATGAACCATTTCACAAAAAAACAACACAAACACAAGAAAGGGAATGAACCACACTATAAAACGTATGGCGTACAACCAGCAAATGTAAACTGAAAACGTATGGTGTGCAACCAGCAAATGTAAACAAAGTCATCCACCAACAAGTTCCCGTGCTAAATCACTTTTAACGCCATTCATCAGAACGATGGAACAGGACTTTCTTTAAAAAATTATGGGAGACGGAGACGTAACCATGAAACACCATAGGTCCAGGACGTCCTGTCTTTATAACTATTTATTATTTATATCTTGGTTATATAACAATCACAATTGGAAAACCCTTCCTCTTAAGGCAACTCTTCCAAAGACAAAGGTCAGAAACTCTTTTTCCTAGTTGAATAAACTTGTTGTCACAGCAACCAAGCTCTACAAACCTTGAACAAAGATCAGCCATATCTGGATGGTCCACGACAGTAGATACTAAAACGCCTTCAGGGAACGCCGTCATAATTTTAAATGTCAATCGCCTGTACTGTATCACCAAAGCTCTGAGGCTTGTTCTCCTTCTTAGATATTTTGCTATTACTACCTCTTTCACACAGGGTGTATGTGCGGAAGGGAGGGGTCGAGGGGGGCTGCCTCTAAATCCCGGCATGTGGGCAGCATGTGATTGAATGGACTGTACAAAGCCCACTAAGCAGTGTTGCAATTCCTCTTGAGAGCTTTCATTATGGAACAACATATTGGATTCTCTTCACAGGCTATTCGTCTCCAGAGGCTACGATCTCTTCAGGAGTTCACACACAAACAGACACACCACACACACGCGCGCGCGAACCTACAGGAAACACCATACAGGAAACCATGCCAACAGCTTAGTAATAAACACTGATTCGGAATGGATCTGATTTCCTACGGTGCTGACGTGAAATGTTCTCAATGTTGGTCCTGCCAGTAATTTACACAGCATCACTTGTGCGGTTTCTCCAAAGATCAGTACACACAAGTAAACACACACACACACGCATATCTACAGAATGGATTTAAACCCTGTCACACAGGTTAAATTATCACACAGTATAGAACAGAGGGCAGGGCCGAGTTGAGGGACATAAAATCTATACCACACTGTGAAACGGTCAGAGCAGAGGTGATGCTACTGCAAGCCTTACTTCATTAATTCAATTTAAAAGCTAATTTTGTTGCTGACTTATTTTGTGAACTTAAAATAAAAATGAAGAACCTGCAGACCATGACTGACGAATAAGCACAACAGCTTGACCTTCTGACCTTTCAGGACAAGGCAACCCAATTGGAATAATTACAATAATAAGTTCCTTATTTTTTATGGTCATCGCTGTTTTGTTTTTTGTTTTTTTGCCTTCCAGTCCTCGGCATCAAACCCGACTATTAGAAACAGATAAGAACCATCTTTACAACTTCAGCTAAAATCATCCGATGTAACTTCTCACCCCACATCCAGCTGTAAAATACCTACATTTCTAGTGTAGTAATTCAGTACAATTTTGTAAGCAGCACTAGACAAATAATGTCTACGTGAAAAGAAAATGCTACCATTTTTTAATTTAATTTTCTTTTTTTTGTAGGAGTCTTGGCATCGTCTTTCCTTTTCCTGAACAAACCTGAGGCCTTAACAACAGCACAAAGCCCAAGGAAACTGAGGTAAGACATCAAATATAAACCACTACACCGTGCACTAACTCTAATTAAGAATAAACATCATTAGGACACCAGGCTGCAGGGACGACCCGTCTTTAGGAAAATACGTGGACCTTTGTGTTGTCATGTCATTTTGAAAACAGACCAACCTGCGACTGCAAGAAATTATTATTCCATTACTTAGAAAAAAGAGACAACACACATTATATAACCCTATATTGTGAGAATTAATTATGAATGCTGTTTTTTTAAATTATTATTATTTCTTTAAATGAGTAGGAATCAGTGAGTCAACAAGAGAGAGAAGAGAACAAGAGAACAACCGTGACTAAACTGTAAACATCTGCTCATTATTTTAAGGGTTATGGTATTCAAGGATATTTCTATGACTTGTTTAGGCCCAATTTAAGTCATTGTTAGAATATGGGTGTACATAATGATCCAGTGCATCACAAATGTGCTAATCAGTTCGGATTGCAGGCTGGCAATGACCCCGAGCCCCTCGTTTATGTAGAATTGAATGCAGGAATCTGGCTCAGCGAGGTCCGGGTGACAGAGAGTGGGAGACTCAAGGCCAATTTATCATGATTTTTCATGATTATTTATTTTGAAATACTGAGAGAAAGTAGGATTGTTTACTTTCCTCTGTATGTAATGTTTTAGCTTATAGCTCGCTTCATTCATTTAGCTGTTTGAGTTCACATTCTAAAACTTTATATATAAACAAAAACATTTAAAGAATGATGCCAGTCTAACCCTTACCGAAGGCTTTTGTTTTGTTTTTTAATTTGGATTTCCTGAATTATTGTAATGAAGTGCTGTATGACTCACCACCACAGGTTCACGAGGGTCTGGTGCGGTGCAGTGTGATTTGGTTGGAGGTCGTGGAGAATGCTGCCCCGTGACCCGGTAACGGATAAGCGGACGAAGGTGGATGGAAGTTCTGCATGTACACACCTGTGTGAGCAGGTCGAAGGTCCGTCCCTGGAGAGTTTGGGAAAAGAAGAAAGTGGAACAAACTTTATCAACATCAGCTGAAAACATCTTTTTTTACTTAGGTAAGTTATAATAAAATAAGACATCCATAATCGGTGGAACATGTTACATCCTAGTAAAACATTACAAGAGGATAAAAAATGTCCTGGTTACATTATAGCTATATAATGTATAGATTTAGGACAATTAATACATTTTTATTAAATGTTAGGACATTTATGTTTTTAAAAGAATATTATTAATGTGTGTTGCCTTTGATCAGTGGTTGATGTACCAAAGATTTCATCATATTTTTTCAACATCTGACCAAACATGACATGCTAACTTAGGATTTTGCTGAAAAAAAATGTAAGAATTCTCAAAATATTGAGCAGCATGCAGACAAGATACATTTTTCATGTATTTGTTGATATCAGAATTAAGTGTTTGGACAATATCGAGATATCAGACATTGATAAAAAGTTCAAATCAGAAATCCCTATTTATAATTGTTTTGCAACTCATTCTCCAGACAGGAGCCTACATAATTGTGTCTGGCAGTGGTGTGACTGGCAGCGATGACCCTCGCTCTGTCATTGCTCTCCTGTGAACTGCGGTGGCCGAAGCCATCCGGAAACGCTCACTGGACCGCTGAGGAACGAAGCTGCTCCTGGGTCTCATATTCTACCTGTCTGTCAAAGCAGCTGTTCACAGGCAGTGGAACTGGACAATGACTCGAGTGGTGCCTCTGCAGAGTCCAACTAAAGACTTGACTAAACTGATTCAAAGTGAGTTACACCACTCAGAGACTGGGCTGATCCTCTTTCTGATATCACATCTGTAAACATACCTGACTCTTTTGTTTCATGCTGTAAGTTCAACTAATAAGAACAGAGTTTCTGGAAGTATTTAACCATGAATGTTTATAATTTTCCAATAATTTACAAATTAATGCTGTATGTACGAAGGACAATGTTTTAGGACAACCTTGCATTTTAGAGAAGATTTTTAGAATCTTATTAAAATAAAGGTATCTCTCAAAATGTGACCGTTTCGTGTAATTTATGGTCAAAATCTAAAAAAATTTGTAAAATTATTTTGCAAAATTTTATCTTTTCCTGCATGTTTCTCATAAATTAAGGTTATTTACAGAACATTTTAAGAATTTTTTTCTATTAAATTTTTGTGAGATTTTTTCACGATGGTAA